TTTTGAATTGATTCTGCCATTATTTCTCCACATCAAAACACTTCAGAATGTATTATTGCACAGTATATAACACGCTACTCTAATTATGTGCATCAGATGTTAGACAATACCAGGGATCAACAAATATATTTCTTGCAATTTGACCACCAATATGTGATTTGACGTTGTTTGGAAGAAAACCGGAGAAGGTTGTCTGCGGCAGGATGTTGATCGGAAGGAGAGGAGACTCAACACGACCTCGTCTTCTTTCGCCACCGTCGGTATGGTTATATCAGTTGCAACCATGTTAAGCTAAATGCTGCTTCTTTTTTTGATCTAAATCCCATGACTGTACACCAAATGGGTCCTAATCTTCTAATGGGTCTCCTGCGATGGCCCCGGCCCCCATGCTTTCAACTAGGCTGCTTTCTCAATTCCCTCCAGCAGCAGACTCTGGAGAGTATACCAAAATGGCCAAACTATCAGGAAAATGATGAGCCTTTCCTGCAAGCCTCGTGCAAAATACGCGGGTCGAATAAAGACCGATGAAAATAATGTTTCCTTCTTATTAAAAAATTCATAAGCCCCTTTGTGCATGGATGTATAATGATAACTGGACAGCGTCAGATGTGCTGCCCCCCCCCAATTTCATTCATATGGTGTATCGTACTCAAGAACTCTGGCTTTGTTCATTGCATGTGCAGGTCATCCTGGGAAGATTAATTACTCCTCAAAATGAAAACTATACATTTCACCATGGAGTAAAAAATGCCTCAATACCTCTCGCTCTTCCTGTGGTCTTTCGTTGCCACAGTCTTCTGGAACTTTGTAGCTCGCTCTAGACTGGAAAAGGAGCTTCTTTATTTTGCAAAATATTACACTATCCATGGTATTATTTAACTTTGTCACTGCGTTTGCTTCTGTTAGTTATTCAATCCTATTTGATCTTTGACCTCTACCCATTTGACTCTTTGAGTGGCTGGAGGAGTAGTGAAACACTCTAGCTGGCCAGGGGTGTTCTGGCGGTTCTGGCCCAATACAAAGGGATCTGTCGCTTCGCTAATCTCTACTTGATCAATGTCACTCAGCAGTGGCACTGAATGTTTTACTTGCATGCAGATGCCATCCGAAAAATAACAAAAGCGAATAAGTTAAAAAAGACGTATCGGTAGTTTCTCCCTGTTAACCTATTGTTTGCGTTTAAATTCTTTATTAAACTGTCTATAAAAGTCGTTTTCATGATTAACTCAGTTCCATAAAGCGATCATTACACAGACATACACACGCAAGCTCACATTTGCGGCGTTATTTGTTATGAGACAAAATGCCTCTCCCTGGTGGTACTGCTGGTTGAATGGGCTTTTAACTAACCATCTGAAAGGCTTCATCATGAGGCAGCAAATTAATGTTCCAAAGGTTTTGAATCCATTCGGGCACGCCTGTGTGTGCGTGTGTAGTTTTTTCAGTCTCTACAGCATAGTCACGTGTGTGCAGATGGGCGTATTGGCCTGTGCAAACAGGCATTGAGTGTAATATTGATACGGTGCTTTTAGCAGCGCTGTGCCTCACAGAACAATGGCCATCTCGTGTCATCTATTGTCCCTCTCCACAACAGGCAAACGTGTGCTAATTGTGTTACGTATGAAATATTAACTTATTAGCTTTCCCATATATTTAATTCACTGCAACACACATGTCTTGCCTACACACACACACACACACACACACTTGACACCATGAATATTCATGTCTTTTACCCAGACATTAATTGAACGGATGCAGCGAATTCTCTACCATCTGTGGGCTCTGCTGCTCAGTGCTGACTGTAATCTGGCGTGCTCATAATTTGTTTCCTCTCTGTTTACCTTGATCTGTGCCTCTGTTTTCTCACCTCCTGTTTCGCCCACCCCGAGGCTGCTGCACGCACCTCTCTTCGCCATCCAGTATGGTGGGCGAATGGTTGGCAGCGTTGAACGGGTGAGGGAATGCGCTGGCCCCACAAATATTCGGGTGACTTTTTTTTTTTTTTGTAATACTTTTTGGCTGGATGGCCGACTGGAAGTGGCGTGGGCCGCTTTGTTGTGTACAGACTGACTGGCGCTCATCGGACCTGCTGTATTTCTGAGCTTCTGTCTGTGTGACTGACTCACTGGCTCACTGTCTCGTCCACTGGATTAATACAAATGGGTAAGAATAAGTTTGCTTACTGAAACACTTGTCTTTCTGGTGGAGATTGTTGAATGGCCTGTTTGCCTGTCACTTTATTAAATAGACCTGTTAAGTAATAATTACTAACTTAAACTTAAATACAATGACGTTTCTTTTTTGTTTTTCTTAGAGTTCTATGCAAAAAAAAGTATACCACTGACACGTGTCTGTTGTAATGCAAGGCTTATCTTCGCTTTGCAGACAGACTAGCAACAGCTATTGTTGGCTCAACGGGTAACAAGTACATTAACAAGGAATACAAATACTGAACTAACAATCAGGTATGGAGGATATAGATCAAGCTTTAGATATAATGAATTCATAACAATATTTGAGTGTATTCAACTCGAAACAAACAATTCCATTTGAGTTTGGTCATACAATCTATTACTACAACTTCAAAAAAGTTCCATTTAGTAATTATTCACTACTAAATACTGTGGCTAGGTAAAGATAGGTCTTCTGCTCAAAGCCACGGTTCAGCTAGCAAACTTTAAATCCGTTTTCAGCTTCTTTGCCCATGAGAAAGGAAGAAGGGCCTCGCACTCCTTGTAGTTCCATTTCATTTTCTGGCTAGGAGTGTTTATTTGGTAATGCGATTAATCCTTGTGCAGCGATCTATCAATTGATCACCCTCCCACTAATGTGACATTATTGTAAATGCATTCCTGATTATCAAAGAATAGCTATAAAGCGCCTACCCACTCAGAAAGCTGTGGAATGGGACCATTATTTGAGAGAAAATGTCTGGTTCAATCTGATGTTTTCTTCAGTAGTCAGTCATTGCATTTTTTTTAAGACATTCTAAATGGAAAATCATTGTTTGTTCTGCAAATTGGCTTTCTCTGCCTCCTGCATGCATTTGATTCAGCAGGAGTCAAATCAATAAAAGGCTTTTGTTGTGAGCATTCGTCTTTCTGCCTCTTTGTTAGCGAGGAAATGCTGAGTCAAGAGGCGAATAACGCTACTTAGGAACGTTTCCTAAGTCAGCAGTTGATTCGGCCACTTGCACGTGTGTGGTTGGGTGTCAGGCAGAGTCCAGGAGGGATGCTCTTACTATTGGAGAAGTTATTTCTGCGGTGGGGCGACTGGATCGTTCAGGTTAAATAATTGGTCTCTGCTTCTTTCTTTTGGCCCTCAGTGTACGTTTTCCAACATTAATAGAATAGATTAAAAGCTTCACTTCAATTGTTTTACAACTGCTCTGTAATTTCTGGCAATTCCGGCACCACTGTCACTGTTTTGTCATCTGACAGTCAAGGCATTCACGTTTAAGTGTATAACTTTTGCTTTGAAGGTTACAAGAAAGACTGCAAAAAATATTCTGATGCTGAGATGTTTTCCATCCCGACGCCCACACACTCGAACTGAGTTTTATGTAAATTGGCCCTGAATACCTGAAATTCCCTTAATATCAGTTAATTTAACATGTCAATGTCTATGGTGATCCTTTATGTATCCTGGTGCAGGGGATGTTTTTGTAGTGAGAGTATTCATCGGGGCCCTGAAGCTCTGACACCATTTTCATTTCTTACTTTGTTCATGCTGCAAAAATGTGTTTATGCTCCAAGGCCTTCTTCGCATGAGGTACTTTGTCCTCCTAGACTTTAAAGTATATATTTTTCTTTAAAGTCTCAGGTGCTCAAGTTATTTTATTCCAAGTATGATATACTGTATGTGATATATATATAGAAAACACACACACACACACTGCTGTTGATTCTCACACCGACCTCCTCCCTTCCTGGTTTTTCCACTGGCAGATTTTTTTATCATTTAAATTTATTTTTGTAGTGTTTCAGTTCTTTTCACCCCATTGTTTCTTATTGTGGATTCTTCCTAATGGTCTTTCGAGCTTGTTGTTTCCATCGAGCTGTATCCTTTTGATGTACATCTATATTTTCTTCTCTCTCCATAAACCTACATTCCTTCTGGCTTGGCCTTATTTCCATGCTAATTTATTTCCTTTTTTGTGATGAAACTGCCTTAAATGTCCATGAATCTATATAAAATACTTTACCTTGCAGTTTCCACCAAGCAATTTAGTTGACACAGAGCGATGACAGATTCCTCGGCAACGCTTCGATTAGACTTGTCAAACAGCTGAACTTGGCTCTTTTCCACACACACACACACACACACACACACACACACACACACACACACACACACACACACACACACACACACACACACACACAATTGAATGCAGATAACATGCAGGAAGAAACGCAAACAGACTCTCGTCCTCTTGGCTTTTTCCAGTCAAGATTATTAGGCGGCTGTGCCATCAAGCCGACCAGCTTGTACCAACACATGCACTTGCACAGACCAAACTCCCCAAACTATATAAATGTAAGTCAAAATTAAAATATTGTTCAAGTAGGATTGAAACGCAGGACCCAGGTTTCAAACAATAAAATAACAAAAATAACGAATAAATCAAAGAACGGACAGAAGCAGGCGTGAGGAATACGGAGGAAGCACACCGTCAAGGCCACAGATTCAATGTAGGATAACAGACAAAGCAACAATGAGACAAAGGACACGCGCAGGTGAAATACGCTGGGAAGGTGCAGGCGAATGGACACGGGAGGGAACTATTAGGGACAAAGTGAACAGTCACAAGTGAGGGAAAAACACACCGGTAGGGGAAGTGAAGCCAACTCAAGGACACAGGAGGCACAAAAATACTAAATAAAGTCTGTGTGGGTGTTGTATTTCTTTACATTCCTATATGGATAATTTATGGTAAAAATCTTTTTCTGCACCCCTCCCCTCCCTCTCATCCCTCCTTTTCTCCCATCTGACAGCCCAGCTTGTGTTAAGCAGACTGCAGAGAGCCGGTGTGAAGACAGCCGGGCCCAAAGCTAAACGACTGTGGGATTTCTCCTAACGTCAGTTAGAAACCCCCTCTGGTCAGCAAAACCTGCTCACGCATGTCCAACTGTCTTGTTAGTCGGCCACCTGTGTGTAACGCGTGCCGGATGTCCGGCCATCCAGTCCGCAACGGAGAAAACGCACGCACAGGACCGCCTGATGTTGTTGTGAATGGGTTGTTTGCATGATTTGTGACACGGGCAAAGAGGGCAGCGCCCGCGCATATTTTACGGAGACAAATTCAAGTGCAGGTGAAATGGAAAACAACCCCAGAAAATAGCCAACGGGGCAAAGTAAACAAGTCACCGGGGGGGTGACTTGTTTTGACATACCAGGTCAATTTAAGAGAAAAAAAAACAATGCCACAATCAAAATGTTCAATCTCATTTTCAACATATTGAGTTGGTCATGATTACTTGAGGTATTTAATGTCCCTGGTACCTTTTTGTTTAGCTTTGAGTCATGTCACTGACAGTTATGTAATTCAGCTTAAGCTGCATTTCTGTTTAGTATGTAGTGCATTTTTGAATGAATTGAGCATAAGATTTATAACACACTGTTGGTTGCAGTTGTTTTGTTAGATCCTTGTCCTCCAACCAGGCAAACAAATCTCTAAAACCCCTGATCATCCGCTCTTCCGATACAATATCAGCTTGCAGTGACCACAGCCATCAATTTTTTTATGCTGATGTGACAGCTATTGATTAAAGTTGGGAGACTATTTCATTTCCGACTCCGAAGCTGACCACCTTTCTTGGACACGTACAAATAAATATAAATCATGTTAACATAATCCAGATAGGAATTACTTTTGTTGCCACAATGTTATTGGGATAATAGTTTTGTACTATATAAATACAACTTTTAGAAGACCTGTTTGCTCTGCTGTGATGAGTATTATTTTCTCAGCCCCGAAGCTTCTCCAAGACGACATGTATTGTTTTCCTTGTGACCAGTAAACTGATCCAGGTTAAGGGCCGAGGCTACAGCTAATCTGTGTTCTCACATGAATAATATGACAAAAGGCCAGGCATCTATGTAAATGGATGTACATATATCTGGATGCTGGAATACGGCTTGTGTCATCAAAATTTGTTTTTAAAAATAAGCTTCTGTAGATCAATAAACAAATGGAGTCAAATACAGTACAAAGCAGATGGCATGAAATTGTTAGTAGTGGCAGCCATTAAAATAGCCAATAGAAACAAAAAGGCCTTCTGTGTACATGCAGGGTTTCCAACATCAACTCATCTTTTCATTTGTCATTTTCCATCACAGACTCCAATGTGGTAATCCCCAACGCTGTTGTCAGTGACTACCAATGCAGAAATGTAGCTTGATGACTGCAGGAAAGGGGGTTATTGGGGTTCAACAATAACTATGATTGTGGGTGTTTCTTGTAGTATTGTGATGCTATTGCTGGAATCTGGAAAATGTCAACAACACTGGAATGAAATCCAATGGAGCAGGAATGATGTGAGAGTCTTTAGATCGGAATGTATGTTTTCTATTGACACTTGAAGTCAAGGTGAACATAGTTTTCTCTTTCTTGAACTATTGATTCGTCAAACATTCTTCATCAGCAGCGGGATTCCTCAGTTTTGATGGAAACCCAAATGATCAAACTGCATTTTTCTGAGCCCTTTTGGGGGGTTTCTCAGCCATTAAAAAGAAGGAAAACTAAATATGTGGAGTCAAAAACAAAACGATCTACATTAATGTCCGCTATTGCGTCATCACACCTGCTCTAAATGCATGCATTCTCATCAATACCATTGTGTATAGTGAACACGGGTCAATCCTCTCAGCCTCGTCAGCGGTTCAAAGTTGGAAGTGTATCATCAGCAATCATATCCTTGGCTAATAGCCAACCTCTGCTATTAGACATAATCCATAGTAGAGAACAGATCTACAGTTCACAAACTAAACTGCTCCAATAGACATCAGTAAATGAGTGAACACAGGGACACATTTGAATTACAAATGCTTTTGCAGTAAATGCCCTGCTAACTGCTTTGGTCAACTGTGTGTTTGCATAGAGAGAATATTCCGTCTGGTGGAGTCTCAGAAGTCCCTATAGACGTGATCCCTGATGACCGACTATTTAGAGAAGCCTTGCTCATCGTCAGACAGCTTGCTCTTTGTCGGAGGAGGCAGACACAGAAAGAGCAGCGTAGCGCCAGATCCACCATGCGGGTATCTGATCTTTCAGCTTGGACCAATCTGCAGAACCCGCGGGAGCTCGGCTGTGTTCACTGTACGCTTCATTTCAAACACACAAGATATCTGTCAGTAAGGTGGAGGAAAACCATGTATCCATGGGGTTCTACTTTCATGTCATTTTGCTCTATTAAAACTCCATCAAGGAGATGTTTAGCTTAGCATTTAGACTGAAACCTGCGGGAAACCGCTGGCTAAGCAGACTTATATGTGGTTAAATCCGTTAAAAAACTGAATTGTACCGTTTTTTTGGGAGGTAAACTGGGTCTATTAAGATTCCGCTTGTTGCAACGTCACACTTTATACAAACTTGAACCTTTGTATAAAAGGGCCCATCAAGATTTTACCTTCTGCTTGAAGTCTCCCCGTTAAGCTAAGCTTAAAGAATAATAACTGACAGTTGTAGGATTCTTCTCATCCATCTCTAGCATATAAAGATATTGTACCACATTTCCATCTGTTCTATTAATTCCGTGCAGATCATGGCAGCCACAATCTGGACACAGTCAAACTTGATCCTGCATTTCAGTCGTGCTCTGGTCAATATTGGCATAACAACCAGTGGAGATGCTTAATTGAATCCTTGCAGCAAATGGTCCCGTATCCCTCATTATAAAGTGCCCAGGTGTTCATTACTGGCAAATTAAAACGATAACCTGCTTCATGACGGAGAGGTTTTTTTTAGATCATCACTTTTAATACCCTTCTTTTTATTGTAAGACCATGTAATGCCAAATAGGGAAAATAAGAATTTTTAGGACAAACTTGAGTGAAGAAATAAGTGTTTTTCAGGTCGAGAAAAAAAATCCTATTACACCCAAAACAAAACAATATAAAAGCTGGAACATGTATCATCCCGAACAGTAACTTGTCACACAATGACCTTCTAGATGTGGATTCATTGGTGTAGATTGATCTATCAAACAGTATATAAAGTAAAGGTTTGAACACCTTTGATTGAGAAAGTGTCTCCACTCTGCTGACAGCACTCGCGTCAACCTGAGGGGGGGCGGGAGGGAAGGAGGGAGGGGACACGTTACGCTGCCCGAATTGGCGCCATAGGTCGGGACCGTGCTGGCAGCCGTTGCCGCAGGCTGAACTTAATGTGCAGCTGCGGCGATCAGCCAGCCGGTGCCTCACTCCCACTGGTAATGCACGCGTGACCGCACCAGCTGCAGAGCACCGACACGCTCCGATTTCGACCCACAGGAAGGGAGAGTGACTCGATTCACGTGGCGGCAATACTACATTTTGTTATATTTACATAGAAATGAATGGTTGGCTCCTACATCAATAGGTGCATACAATTATTTCTATGAGGTTTCGACGGGAAGGACCTTTACTAATATTGCATTGCTTATTATTGGGACGTTTAATTTCGGAAAGCTGAACCCCCGCACACACACACACCCCCCCTTTGTTTTCTGTGTCAGAATTTAATCATAAATTCACTTAATCTCTTTTGTAGTAGGAAGCAGCCAGACTGTCACTGTGACACCTCATTACTGTTTATCGGGAGCATGAGCCGAGACAAAACACATGCTCATGGTGATCAGATACTGAGACAGTGAGGGACAGGACATGTAGGAGATGGGGGTTCGCAGAATGCCTCTCATACAAGCCTGAACACTCCAGCCAGGTCTTCCCCACACACCCGTGCAGTATGCACACAGCATACAATAAGTTGTGATGAAGCAATTACAGAGAGTGTCTGAGCACAGCAGTCTACCAGTGTAAAGAGCAAACCGTCTCCTTTGGGATGCAACAAGTTGGTGCAGACAAAATCCCTTTGATTTGTCGTGTTTGTTGTACCAAATGTTTTTGATGAATTCACCGGATCCAACACCAACGCTATGATGCTTCCCACATTGAGGATTCAATCTAGAAGATCACCACAAAGAACATAATCGTAATGCTCTAAATGCAACTTTTATTTAATCATTCTCCAAGCTGGTTGGCTGTGGCTATTTTTCTGCACGTTGTCGGATTGCATATTGTTGTTAAGATATCCATAACAATAGAGAACAGTAAAGTAAAAATAATAATAAATAGGATGAAGGCAGAAAGTTACTTCTGTAGAGTCAAGAGTCCTTGCCCCATTGATTCCATGGGGACAACAAGACATGATCGGGTGAATATACATTGTGTCTAACCAGGCATGAGGGAAATGTACAGCGAGGGGAAATCCGCTTCTGGCCAACTGCCAACCACTTCTTTAGCCACTGCATTGAGGTGAGTTAGTAAAATGTAAAGATGTTTGCGTGCGTACATGTATCATCCTGTGTGTGGATTTTGACTGTGTTCATTGACCGTTACACTTTTTGTCATTTATCTGGAGAAGCAAGAACAAATTTATTTGAAGCAAACCGTATTGTACGTATCGTAAACTGTAAAGTCAAGGAGTCAACCGCAGGCTTTAAACGTGGCCTACCTGAATACTTTCATGCCCTTCACAAAATCATCCATAATTCTTTCCAACCCTTTACATAATCAGTGAATTTTTGTTGGTTCACTCGGACTAAAACCTTCCACTTTGTTGCCGCTATACAGGCTCTTCCTCCTGATTAACTATTTTTGCACAAATTACCAGTGAAGCGGACAGTCTTCCTGCATAATGTTACATTCAGTGACCTTTTCATTAACAGGAAAATTATGCTGCGTTTCCGCTATGCCAGTGTGTGGGCCAGGTGATGCCTAATCTCCTCCAACACGTACTCCAAGGCTGTTGATTCCAGGGGGGTAAAATGGAAGAAAGGGAGCCAGATCTTTTCTGAATATAGAAAGTGGAATGGTTACTTCATATTTAGCGGGTACGGTGCTTCTGAAAAACTGCGTATTACTATTAATTATTTTCTATTCCGGTTTGGTTGTGACAATCTGGTCACTATCTGCTGTTTTTCACACCAAAATATAGTTATGCCTTATGTTTGACCTTTTTGACGTATACAGGTCTTCTCTAATTTGAGAGTCAAAGTGATAAATGACTGTTTGAATGAGTTTGGACATTCAGGATTAAAACAATCTGTCCTTTTTCACACTGCTGCCAAAAGAAAAATGCCCGCGTCTTCACTGAGTGCTATTCCGACCCTAATCCAATCTTCATCACAGAAACAGGTGGGCCTTAGTTTGGTGCAGAGTTGACTTGTAATGAGTTGTCTGTAATCAATGTTGGCATATCAAAAAGATGTACATTAACACGCTACTGCTAATGGCTTCTTCTTAATGGATGATCCCATGTAATGCTGAAGATGAGTTGTTCATTTCCTTTTTCTTTAACTCACATTCCAGGTTACATCCAGATTTGATGATGTGCAAAGTTGTCACTTGACTCAGTATTGCATTTTTCTCTCCTACTTTTTCTGCTCTAACCAAGAACGCTCTTTATGGATAAATTAACGGGCAATACATTGCACATTCACTATTGCCTGAAGGATAGTTGAAGAAAGAAGAAAATCTCACTGTTGTACCTCATTTTCTCTCTTTTGTTGAATTGGTCATTATGTATAGATCACGCTCTGATCTAGTGGACAATAGCTTTGCATATTATTTTATAAAGATGGCATTAGTAAACGCTATTATTCTCAAGGCACTGGGGAAAACAGTTAACAAAATGACTGACATTTATAAAAAGAAAATGTAGTGGACCACTACTGC